GATTGTAGAAAGCACTGACTTTGCCAAAGTCACCCTACCAGCAAGAGATAAATTTGATTGCTTCCAAGAATTTAATCTTCTGTTAATTCTATCCAACACATAGCTAAAAGACCTTTTCCCAATTATTTTATGCTAGTGTTTGTATTCTTAAAACCCAAGATTAAGAGGCTATCAAAAAAAAAAGCCAAGATTAAGTACTTGAAAAATGTTGCTTATTTTATATTATATATTTTTAAATAATTAAAAATTTAAATTAAGGGAAGACGTGACTCTTTATAAGATTTGAAAAAAAATTGCTTAAAAAAAAAAAGATTTGAAAAAAATCAACAATCTATGAATTTCATATTAAATTCTTAAAATACAACATAATGTTTGGAAAAGTTAATTTGTTAAGCGAGTTTATTTTTTGAGTTAAATAACATTTTAGTTAATGGAAGTAGTTATGATCAGTTTGAAAATTGGGGTTTACTAATCTCATGTTACATGAGATAGTACTCTCATGTGAGTGATACAAATATGTGGGGTCCATAATTTAAAAAAAAAAAGAAAAGAAAAGAAAAAATTGGCACAAAATTATATGGATCTATGACATGAGATAAATATCTTTTTTTTTGGAAATAATAGGAAATTAAAACAAAAACACAACAAAAAGAAACTAGGCACAAAGCCTAGACCAGTGAACACCTATAGTGTCACCATACAGACTATCAATACAACCTGACGGTGGACAATCAAATTCCTGAATTACCCAAGAGAAACCATAAGAGTAAGAGGCTAGAAAGTCCGCTACTCTATTTCCTTCACGGTGAATGTGAGACATATAAATCTGCCAATCTCGCTGCATCAAATTTCGAATACGATTCACCAAATTAGCCGCAGGGTAATCATGGTGGCACCCATTTGTAATGAGCTGTTGAGCTGAAAGAGAATCTCCTTCGAGCCAAACTTGCCTAAAACCTCTATCCCAAGCTAGCTCCAATCCAACCAAGCAAGCCCATAACTCAGCATGCAAAACTGTACCTGAGCCTAAATTTTTACAGAATCCGACGATCCAAGTTCCTGAGGCATCGCGAAAAACTCCTCCACACCCAGTCCTAGTACCATTAGCATCACATGCACCATCAACATTAAGCTTAACCCAATCCACATGAGGACAACACCAAGCAACCAATCTCTCTATTCGATTCCTTGGTTGATTGCCCGCTCCAAAAATAGGGTTAGCTACAAGAGCGACACTATCTCTGAAACCAATTGCTGAACGGATAAGTGAATAAGCATTCTGGCGATCACCTTCAAAAACCCAAGAATTCCTACATTTCCAAATTTTCCAGGCTAAGATTCCAAATAAAAGAGGCCAGTCCGACCCCATCCCCCAATCCTTCGAGCTGTCTAAATTAGAAATGATCCAATTGTGCAGGTTGAGGTTGAAAAATTCACGCTGATTTATATGAGGCATTATCATGCACCATACTTCCTTTGATTGTGGACAGTCGCGAATAGTATGAAGGATAGTTTCACTAGACTGATTACATCTAGGACACAGATCTGAAAGAGCCATATGACGGCGGAGTCTACAAACATTAGTCATCAGCTTCTCCCCTGCCATTAACCAAAGAAAAAAGCGAATTCTTTCTGGCCCCTGCCATCTCCAAACACTTTCCCAAGGAAACTGTTGAATTGTAGTATCTTTGATGGCTAATATTGCATATGCTGACTTAACAGTAAACTTGCCATCTGTCGTTCCATTCCAAAATAAATGATCCTGGCCATCTTGACTAGAAGGAGGAAGAAAATTCATAAATCGATGCAGCACAGAATCTGGAAGCAATTGTCGAAGAGAATTCCATTTCCATTGCCCCAATTCATCCACGTAGTCCACCACCTTCTGAAGAGTATCACTAATAGAAAACTGAGAACCTGCATATGAGATCAAAGGACCACAATCGGGCAGCCAGCTATCAAGCCAGAACAAAGTGGACTGACCATTGCCTAACTGCACCCGACTATGATCCATTATAATATTCCAATGACGCGTAATTCCCTTCCAAAGCTGGGAGCTGCTGTTTGGAGCATGAATAATTGGTGTCATGCCTGCCTCCACATTGTACTTAGCACGTAAGAACTTTGACCACAAGGCATCTGGATGACATGAGATAGATATCTTATACAACATAAGACTATCATTTCCCTTGAAAATTTTAAAACATGTTATCATTTATGTTATTTTTGAATTTATTAATTGATTCATTGATTATTCTACTTAATCCGAATATGTTGGACCCGAGTAATTCCCCCAATATAATTTTTTCCATTCGCATAAATCAAACTCAAAACCTGAAAAAACAACTTACCCCTAGAAATTCATCATCATCATTCTTCATTTTTTTTAGGTAAACATTATTCTCATTTTCACATTCGTGTTAAATGGATTAATGAGAGGGATAATTGAAATATGACCACTAGGAAACGATGGTTATAAATATTTAGGAAATATCCTAAACTCAAAAGGAATTTATTTCTATCAAAACAATAGTCTTAATTATGTTGGAAATTATATTTACAGGTGAATTATATTCGTGGCACATAAAGAATTTAACGTACAACACTTTCGTTAAAAAAATCTTACTTATTTACGGATTAACATGTTTAACAGATTATTATTTTAGGATTTGATGTTGAGTTTTAAAAATTTAGAAGAAATTAATGTAAAATGAGTAAAAAAAATTTAAATTTAAAACAATTATTTCAAAAAAAGATGGTACCGAGGTTTTATTTAAGGGGTTTAGTATTTGTCCTTTTAAAGGACATAGAATTATGTCATTTAAATAATAAAAAGGCACAAGTAATAAAAATTATAGGAGAAAAAGTAAGTTATTTTTTTAAAATTTAAATAAAAAATATTAAGTTGTGTCTTTCTCTTTCTTAAAATGACACATACGTCATTTAAAAGGACAAATATTTTTCTCATTCTTTAATGGGTTATACTTATCTCATTTTGCATAAGAAAAATAACTTTCCTACATATACAAATAAGGGGTGGGTCCCACTTCTTTTTTTTCTCTCCTCTTACTTGTGGGTCCCACTTATAGTTTTGTTTCTACAACATGAGATAATCATTTTCCTGTTACATAAGAAAATTATTTCTCTTTTTTAAAAATGAGAGGTTATACTTACTGTCTCTTTTTCTTACTATCTCTTACTTTCAAATATTAACCATTAATTTCATCCCAACAAATTACAACTGTTAGATTAACGAAAATCAATGATTAAGATTTAGTAATTAGAGATAGTAAGAAATAGAGGTAATAACTATTACCTCCCTCTCTAAAAATCTGAAATCAATAAATGAAAAAAAATTAAGGCCTAAATGACGTTTTATTATTAAAACAGCGTTTTGTAGTTAGGCATCAATGTTTCCGTTGATTTTAGCATGAAGGGGACGTTTGACAGAGGAAAAAAAAATTATTCGAAAATCTCGATTTTCAGAAATATGATGAAAATATTCCGTTTACGATAATATTCGAAAATTAAAAATTTAGAAAAATTTAATTTCTCGAAAATCATGAAAAATACCTTGTACCAAACGCTCCCGCGAGTCAAGTAAGCAGTCATGAATGAGATAACGAGAAAAAGAGGCAAAAAAATTAAAATATTACACTTTTAATAATTAATTACGAATAGGTAGCAGTTTGGAAACTATATTCGAATTTACTGCAGTCATTCACGCCCAAATTAGGCGTGACTATTCACGCCTAAGTTAGGCGTGACTCCCTAGGCATTCACGCCAAATTTAGGAACCATAAAACTTTGAAAAGTCATAACTTTTGACTCGGGTATCCAAATGAGTAATTTTTTTTTTGATTCCACATAACTTTTCGAGATCTACGCAATGACATCTCATTTGATATATTTTATCTCTCACAAACACAATTCAAATTTGCAATAATTGTATTATATAGTGTATTACCAAAAAAAAATTAAAAAATTATTATTAATAAGAAAAACAAAATAAAGATTTAATGTGTGATTTAAACTCAAAAATCAATTTGAAAAATCTGTATTAATAAATAAAATAATTAAATAATATTACGAATATATTGCCGTTTTAATAAATAATTACGAATAAGTAGCCATTTTGAACCTAATTACGAATATATTGCACTCATTCACGTTCAATAAGGGTACTATAACATTAAATTCAAAATTCAAAATTCAAATAACCTCCAATAAGTTGATTGCATTTTGTATTTAATAGGAGCTGATTGCGTTGTAATTTTATGAGTTGGTTACATATTGTCGTCAATTCAAATAAATTTGCTGGTGGTTATTTGAATTTTGAATTTAATGTTATAGGAGTTGATTGCGTTTTGTATTAATAGGAGCTGATTGCGTTTTGTATTTAATAGGAAATTTGGTGCCATCTTTGTAGTATCATTGTTGTAAATTTGAATTGTGTTTGTGAGAGATAAAATATATCAAATGAGATGTCATTGGGTAGATCTCGAAAATTTATGTGGAATCAAAAAAAGAATTACCTCATTCGGATATCCAAGTCAAAAGTTATGGCTTTATAAAGTTTTACGGTTAAATTATTAATTTTGTGTGCACGGTGTCAACATCAGACGAGTCACGCATAACTTAGGCGTGAATAGTCACGCCTATTTTGAGCGTGAATGACTGCAATAAATTTGAATATAATTTTCAAACTGTTATCTATTCGGAATTAATTATTAAAAGTGTAATATTTTAATTTTTTTGGTGAGAAAAAAGAGGGGATGGGAAAACAAGAATGAAAAGCTACTAAGAAACTCGGCAAAACGATGTCGGGTAGGGACAATTGGCGGTTTAATGTGGATCGGACGAGTGAGTTCCAGACTGAGTCACAACGGCCTCTCGACTCACTCAGTGAGCGAGTCAAGTTATGTCTCTCTGGCTGGTGACTCGTTTTCACTTTCTCTCCCTCTGCGTTGAGCGTTCATCACTCACGGTTACATTGACATTCCCTTCTCTCTCTCTCTCTCTGACTCTGTTTGTGGTGCCCTTTTTCGTCTTTTCGCTCAAATCACGATCAGACGGCTCTTCTCCTTCCAAGTCATCATCTCCGTCTTCTTCATCCCTGCGACCTTTCCTTTCTGTCTCACCCCTCTTTTTTGTCTCTATATAATTTCACCACTGCTTCATTTACCCTAATTAGGGTTTCTGAGATTCGCACAGCCTCATACTTATTCTCCATCGCGCTGCGTAACAATCATGCTCTCAAACCTTCATTTTTCCACCTCGTATTCGTCTTCGTCCTTTCCTCCTCAATTTTATCACTGCGATCCATTCAGGTATTCCATTCCCAAATCTCAGAACTTTTGATTTTTCTTTTCTAATATTTCTCGATTTTCTAAAATTTGGTTTTTTTATTTTTTTTTTAAATGCGTTACTGGGTTTAGTTTTTTTTTTTTGTTTCCCTTATGGGGATTGAAATTGTTAGGTTATGATATTATTTTGTTTTTGTCGGGTGTTGGTTAGGGTATTGGATTGAGATTGATTTGGCGGGGGTTCAAATTGTTTGAAGTTTTTTGGCGGCACTTGGATGGCGATTGAGAAGAACAACTTGAAGGTGTCGAGGGTTATTTCCGAGTTCTCGCCCCAAAGTAGGGACACTATGTCTAGCGATGAGGGCGAAGTTCAGCGGCGTAACACTGGTATGGAATCTGATGAGGATGATGATTTTGATGATGCAGATTCTGGGGCAGGGTCTGATGACTTTGATTTGCTGGAATTGGGTGAGACCGTGGCTGAGTTTTGCCAGATTGGGAATCAGACTTGCAGCATTCCCTTGGAACTGTATGATCTTCAGGGTCTCGAAGATGTACTATCTTTGGATGTGTGGAATGAGTGTTTGAGTGAGGAGGAGCGATTTGAACTTGCTAAGTATCTGCCTGACATGGACCAAGAGGCTTTTGTTTTAACGTTGAAAGAGCTTTTTAATGGTTGTAACTTGCATTTTGGGAGTCCCATGAAGAGGTTATTTGATATGCTTAAGGGTGGCTTGTGTGAGCCAAGAGTTGCCCTTTACAGGGAGGGTATGAATTTTTTTCAGAAGCGACAGCACTATCATCTATTGAGGAGGCATCAGAACGACATGGTTAACAGTCTTTGTCAGATAAGGGATGCTTGGCTTAATTGTAGGGGATACAGCATCCAAGAAAGGCTTCGTGTTTTGAACATTATGAGAAGTCAAAAAAGTTTGATGCACGAGAAGATGGAAGATTTGGAGGTTGATTTGTCAGGTGAAGAGTCCGGTGAAGGTTTATGGAGTAGGAAGAAAAAGGATAAGAAAGTCATGCGGAAAATGGGTCGTTATTCCTCCCATGGGGTGAGTACAGGCTTAGAAGTCCGTTCACGAGGACAATCAGTAGTTTTGGAACCAGAGAAGTATGGAAAGCCAAACCCAAAGGGTATACTCAAGCTGGCTGGTTCAAAGACACCATCAGCGAAGGATCCAGCAGGTCATTTGTCTTCTGTTTACCATGCTTTGGATCCTGGGATGAATGGTTCAGATACTGCTCTTTTCCGGCGGAATAAGTCAGTGGGGTATGATTCAGGGTCAATGCTTAGGATGAGGGATCAGCTGAGGAATGGTGAGGATGATGAGGAACAGACATATGGACATAGTGTCCAACGAAATCGTAATGTATTACGTGGTAACCTGACGGACAAGTCCGGTGTTCTGAAAGTGGGGAAGAGGCTGAGAGGTGATGAAATAGATACTGACAATTTGATGGGTCTATCTCTGTCTTCAAAGGTTGATCTGCATACATACACTAGGAATCCAAACCAATCTTCAGATATGAAAATGTTAACAGCAAAGCCCTCCTCTTCTATGAGAGGTTCCAATGATTTTTCTAGAAAGGCTAAGTATCCTGAAAATGCTCAGCAATTTTTTAGTGGTGATCAGATGAAATCTAGACTGAGGGGCTCACATTTACCGCATAAAGGAAATCTGGTTGGTTCATCAGATCTTAATGAACTTTTCGGCAACAACAAAACACTGAGAGAGGAATTTGCTATGGATTCACCATTCAAATATAATGATTGGAATCTAAAGAGCAAGAAATGGAAGACAGGGAGGGAGTCTCCTGATCTCAATTACATGGCTTATAGGTCTTCCTCACCACAGGTGAGTGATAGACTTCTATCCTCTGACTTCGGAACAAAATCATTGCAAGAGAAGATCAAAGGTAATTTAATACAGAATGGAGGACAAGAGACAATGACTCTGAGGGGTAACAGGATGCTTCTTAGAAGTGAAGAAACTGAATCAGACTCATCAGAGCAATTGAATGACGATGACAATGACAATCCTTTGTTGCATAGCAAATTTTCTTACTTGATGGCTACTGCTGATGGTTCTCACATGACATCATTGAAGTCTCACCCAGCTCCTAAGAAGTCCAAAAAGAAGGGCAGCTTTGGAGAGCAGGGGCATATGCCTCGGGTTGAAAATTACCTTTCAAAAGCCAGGCAGAAGGGTAAAGTAAGCAATGGTGGTCGTTTGCATGATTCAGCTGATAAAATTATGGAAGAGAGCTATCCCTCAGGTTCGGATAAGCTTAATGATGGTGATGATGATTGGAGTGAGGTATACATGATGGGCCGGAATGGCCAGGAACCTGTTGAAGGGTTAGACATGCCCTACTTGAATTCATATAATACAGAGCGAAAGAAGAGAGGGAGAACTGGCCTTGATCATTCCATTCCCAGGTCAAAATACTTGCATGATTATGCGGGTGATGAGGAAGATGACTCTCTTGGGAAACGGTTGCTGGTGGATGGTAATGGAGTTGGGCAGAGTAGGTTTGGGAAAAAAGGGAAAAAATATGGTGCATATAATGGTGATCAAAATAAAAGGTCTAGGACACCGTTACTGGGTTGCAACTCAACAGTGAAGAAGCGGAAAGTGAAGGATGATGTGGGAGATCTTGATGGAAGAGGTGAAGGTGCTGATCTTCTGTCTAACTTTCTTCCCCAAACTGATGATTCTAGTTCCTTGAGGAGAAAATCAAAGAAAAAAACAGGAGCATTGACGGTTGGTTCGCATATGGAAAATTCTGAGCCACTAGTTACTGATATGGGAGTGGCAGACATGGAGCCGGAATCTAAGCCACAGAAAAAACCATTTACTTTGATCACCCCTACTGTTCATACTGGATTCTCATTTTCCATTATACATCTTCTTTCAGCAGTCCGCATGGCAATGATTAGCCAAGTTGGAGAAGACAGTTTAGAGGTGGGGAAGCCTCGAGAAGAGCATAACAAAGCACAGGAAGGCAGTGTCAGTTGTGTTCTTTCAAATGAGAAGGTTGTTTCCAATTGTGAGCATGCTGACCAACTGAATATGCCATGTCTGACTGTTCAGGAGATTGTTAATCGTGTGAGATCAAACCCTGGTGATCCTTGTATTCTTGAGACACAAGAGCCTTTGCAGGATTTAGTCAGAGGTGTTCTGAAGATATTCTCTTCAAAAACAGCACCTTTAGGAGCAAAGGGTTGGAAGGTGTTAGCAGTTTATGAAAAATCTACAAGAAGTTGGTCATGGACCGGCCCAGTTTCTGATAATTCACCTGACCATGACACCATTGAGGAGGTGACATCTCCTGAAGCTTGGGATCTTCCTTATAAGATGCTTGTCAAATTGGTTGATTCCTTTGCCCAGTGGCTAAAATGTGGTCAAGAAACTCTTCAACAAATTGGAAGTCTTCCTGCACCACCTTTGGCTTTGATGCAAGTCAAACTTGATGAGAAAGAGAGGTTTAGGGACCTTAGAGCCCAAAAGAGTCTTAACACTATAAGCCCAAGTTCTGAGGAAGTGAGGGACTATTTCCGAAAGGAGGAAGTTCTCAGGTACTCGATTCCTGACAGAGCCTTCTCTTATACTGCAGCTGACGGTAAAAAATCTATTGTTGCACCCTTGAGAAGGTGTGGTGGTAAGCCAACATCAAAAGCCAGAGACCATTTTATGTTGAAACGTGATCGACCACCACATGTTACAATTCTTTGTCTTGTCAGAGATGCAGCTGCCAGGTTGCCTGGAAGTATTGGTACTAGAGCAGATGTTTGTACATTAATTAGAGATTCTCAATATATTGTTGAAGATGTATCTGATGCCCAAATTAACCAAGTAGTTAGTGGGGCCTTGGATCGATTACATTATGAACGCGATCCTTGTGTACAATTTGATGGTGAAAGGAAATTGTGGGTTTATTTGCATAGAGAAAGAGAAGAGGAAGATTTTGAGGATGATGGCACTTCATCTACAAAGAAATGGAAAAGGCAGAAAAAAGATGCGGCAGATCAATCTGACCAAGGAACAGTAACTGTTGCTTGTAATGGAACTGGGGAGCAAAGTGGATATGATTTGTGCTCAGATCTCAATGTGGATCCATCAAGCATTGATGATGATAAGGGAATGGAACTTATTTCTAATAATACAAGGCTAAATGCGGAGGACAATGTTGATGTCCATCATGCTTCCAAGCAAGCCAATGTATGTGAGGGTAATTCAATGGTTTGGAATGCTCCTTGCTTAAATCCCACTCAAGAGAATAAATTGTTATGCCAAGAAAATTCGACAAATGAAGATTTTGATGATGAATCATTTGGGCGAGAAAGGCCTGTTGAACTACTGAGTGCAAGCTTATTGTGATGAATTCTCCAGGTGGTTCTTAACATCATGGCATTATTCTGATTGCAATTTCACTTTGATGTTTGAATTTCCTTTTATATATTATATTACCTTTGTTTGTGAGACTATGTAACTAAAAAAGAAAGAGACCTGCTGGGGTGGTTTTGAGAAGTATCTTTGAATTAAGATCTTTATGCACAGTCTCTGTTATATAAAAGAGGGGGGGGGGTGTCTTCATTTTCCCTTTGTTATTAGAGGTGGCAAAGTGAGCGGTCCGCCCTACCCTGCCATTAACCCGCCAAAAAATGAGTCAGTCCGCCCCGCCCCGCTTTTGAAAGTGGACTGAAAAACTCAGCCCGCCCCGCCCCGTTTGGTGGGTTGGGCGGGTTGGCCCGCCAGCCCGAGCCTATTTTACACTGACCCGCCTCGACCCGCTTATGTCCGCCAAAAAATGAGCCCGCCCCGCTTTTGAGATGGGTTGAAAAACTCAGCCCGTTGGGCGGGTTGGCCTGCCGAGCCGAGCCCGTTTTGCCGCCTCTACTTGTTATTCCCTTTATTTGTAAAATTCTACCAATTGGTTTCAACTTGTGACTGAAGAATGACAGACGTGTTTCTGCAGGTTTTGGTCTGTCAGCATTCAAGAGCTCAGTTATACTGGTTGTAGCTGTGCTAGTATATATTCCGGGCACAGTATTCTTGTATATTGATTTGATCGGAAAGATAGAATAGAATGTAATCATGTTGAAGTTCATGGAATTTGGTTAAGATCCCGTCTTTATGATTTTGCCCAATAAATAATTCCTTTTTGGTCAAAATATATAGTGATCTCAAGTATAGCTCCTTGTGTACATTGAGAATCAAGGAGCTAAATATGGCGTTGTTGTGCTGCATCTCAATATTCTTTTTTTATCTGTATATATGGTTCAATTCAATTTGGATCAAGATTTTAGTACATCTAGTTGAATGACGCCCAAATAAAAAACATAATTAAATATTTTTTAACCCTTGAGTTAAAATGGTCACCGAAACTATTAAAGTTAGCCTAGTGGTGTGGGATGTGTGTAGTGTTCAATTCCCATTATAATCCAAAAAAATAAATAAATAATGGTAGACCCAGATTACGCGACTAAGAAAAAATTCTTATTATTTCTTGATTGATATTTTTATGCTGGGGTGTTTTACAAGTCTCTACAATGATGAGTGGCATATTGAACTACAGTTAATGGGTGCTGCTATACTGTTAAGAGTTAGGTGTAGGTTTATAACTGTTAGCTGTCTTCTTTGTTTTGTTATCTTAGAGATTCGTTTGTGGAAATTCAACAGCTAATAACAAGGTGACTCGTTTTACACGTGGTTGACTATATTTTGAGACTGCTGAGCTTGTTGGATGTAGCAAGTTGCAACTTAAAACGTACCTCCAAGCAAGAGCAACGATCACAGTCTCGAGATGTGCTCGGCCATGTTCCTTTTTGAAACATTTTGATTGCGAAATCAACAGAAATCTTATTTACACTCTGGAATTTCACATAGAATCTTTACAAATTTACATTTATCAAACTATTAAAAAGATTCAACCACTTAATTACTTACAATCAATCACTTGTTATTGAAGTAATAGTAGGTAGTTGATTAATCATTCGTCAAAAATATTTAATCAATTGTCTACACAACTTAAAAGGAATTGGCAAAAAAAAAAGCGTAGTTTAAATTTGTTGATAGTTGTTGTAATTATTATTAATTTTTTTTTTGTGGACGTTGTAATTAAATTTATTCATAGTTTATAATGCAAATCTGTGAAGGTTCTGAAAACCTTGTGTGAGTGACATTTATGGGTAATCAATTGAGAAATGATAACAAACAATTTGAATGTCCACAACAATAAAAAAATAAAATAAAAAACCAAAAACAAACAAACAATTCGAATCATCTTAAGTTACTAAGGCATCTATTAACATTGCCTTGCTATCACTTGCTTTAATTGACCCCATTATTGCACTTGAGAGTAATAATCTCCACAGTTCACACTAATGTAAATTTTATTATATGACATTTTAAATTTAATTTTAATGGCATATATTCATATTCTGTTTTTATGTATCATTTTTAGTGGACTGATATAATACTCAGGTATATAAAAATATCTCTCAATTACTTGGAAATGATTTCAGAAACTTTATGTATTATATTGAATGAAATGTAGGTGATTAGTTTACTGGAAGAAACCAATGAACTTTTATACTTCAGGCCACTTAATACCCTCCCTTATCTCTCTCATTTGCCGCGATAATAAAATTGTTCAGGAACGCTTGAGATTCAATACAAACCCGCCACAATCATAATATGATCCAATTTCAGTTGACATCAATAATAGATGTACACGGAAGCAAAAAAGGTAACCTTTACATATTTCTGCCTTCCCAAACAGTATCCTTTTTATTTTCCTTCTTTTTTGCTCTCTATCCAAAAAAAAGCAAAATGAATACTTCACTTCTATAGGATTATATCTGAACAATATGCTATTTACAGAGTTTCGGCTGTCCTAGTTAATAGCAATGAGAGGAACTCTGGAATCTCCAACTGATTGAGAAGCTTCATATGCCCCAATGTATTTAACATCACCATTTGCATGTTTTGGAGATTTAGCATCCCAGAATGAATTCAGTAATTCCTCAAATGATGGGGTTCTTAGTTCTTCTATGGATGAAACACTGGGTAAATTGAAGGATCTCTTTCTTGGAGTTGAACAGGATGATTCATCTACCTGTATTTCGCATGGTAGTTTCAAATTAAAAAAAATTAGAGTCCAGAAGCCAAAGATAACTCCCATTTCGTGGAGCACAAAAATAGGTGCTTCATGTGAAATACTTCATGCTCTACATGTTAAAAATAGTTGCTTTTCTCTAACTACTTGGCTGAAAAGATGAGGATTGTTTGACACCCGAATATATATATATATACACATAGGAAAGTATTCGTTTATAATTTTTTTTTTACAAATTACACTAAGTAACCGATCATACACTCTTGATTGAAGTATAACCGATCATACTTAGTGTAGTTTGTAAACAAAAAGTTTGTAAATATAATCTTCTCTAATATATAGAGGAAGGATATTCTTACTACTAAAATCTTCTACTATCAACTTACTACCTATCTAATCATCATTTTCTCTTTTTTCAAAAACTTTTTAGCATTCTTTCTCTTTGATTCAATGGTGATTAGACAGGTAGTAAGTTAGTAGTATAAAATTTTAGTAGTAAGAATATCCTTCCTCATATATATATATATATATATGGAAATGCATTTGTCATGTTACATGACAAATGAATAGTTGTTATGTTAAGAAAAAAACAAGTTAAATTCATTGAATAATGTGCCCTATTACTTTTTTCATATTATATAATTTGTCTTTTTCTTAACATAACAACTATTCATTTGTCATGCAACATGAGAAATGCATTTTCAATATATATATCCACGGAATTAGTGCGTGAAGTCTCTTACCACATATTCACAAAGAAGACATTTCCCTGCATTTTCAGTTATCTCTACAATTCTGTCGTGATGACCACCCTTCAATTCTCTTAAGTCACCAAAACATGGGTTAATCATATAGTTCAGATTCCAACAAGCTTCATGATCAAGTTGCAACGAATCTGCAAGTGTAAATAACTTTTTAATTGGTATTTATGGTATGATTAAACCAAGGCATTTATGATGCATAGGTATGAGACTAAATCCTGACATTCAATGGATGAGTTCATATCCTTGTTTGCTGTTTCTGCATCTTCAAGTGTAGTTGACACAGCACTTGAGAATCGGGCTCGTAGGACTTTATTAGCTTCCATTCCTCCCCTGATCGAAAGCAATTGGGGAAAAAAATGAACCAAATATATAGACAGTTTTGATCCCAACAGAATATGAAAAACCTACCGAACAATAGTATCCACGGAAGCAGCATTTCTCTTCTCTAGACTAAGCATGGACTCTTGAGCATTTCTCCATTGTTGCGCACCTACTTCGGCCTTGCTGAGGCTGCAATGTTTGTTCAGAGTAGGGCTCAGTGAACAGAAGAGAATACAGCAGAGGATAAAGTTTGCATTATCCCAGTACGTTCATACCAGTTCTGAAGAACCTCCACGAGGTCTTTCTTTCCAGATTCTACTGCAGAAGTATCCTCATGATAGTTGGATTCTGTTTTTTCCACGTGAACTCTCCACTCTGCTTTAACAGAAGAAGTGGAATCTTGCATGCTTAATGTTTCTTGCCGCAGTTTACTGATATTACTGTTTGTATTCTCCCGAAGATCATCAACTGCCAGTTGAACCTAATAGGCAAGAAAAGAATAGTAAGACCTTACACTAAGGTAGTTATGGAAGCTACTGTAGGTAAGCTTAGAATGTCTAAAAGCAACAGCTACCAGTTTTTTCTTCCTGGCATTTGAGCTTGCTAGCATTTCTGCCAACTTCTCCAATAGTTGCTTTTCTTCATGCGCAGTACATTCCTACGCCCAGTGAAGAATGAAATTTGTCGAAGTTAAAAAAGTGGTACAATAAACATCCAATCATGATTTTTGCAGTTCTGAAATAAAGCACTGCAGTCACCTCAAACTTCTTTTGAAGTTCACACAATTTTTTATCATTGGCAAATTGTGCTTCTTCCACAATTTGGGTCAGATTGAATGCATGCATGTCTAATGTCTCAAAGAAGTTCACGGTTATTTTAGATACTGCTCGTGTGGTCTCCACTGCTCTGGCATGTGCCTACATGCAAATTGCAATAGCAGAAAATTTAGTATCTCTAAGTAGTGCTGGTAAAATGGATCAGGTGGGCCAGGGCCATAAAGCCTGCAGGGCCAAATGAACTTTAATAATAAAAATCTGCACAGGTCAAAAACCCTATGGGTTAGCGTCAGCACGCGTGTCATTCAAAATTATAATTTCATAAATTTTTTTTATCATATTTAATCAACATCAACAACACTTTTAACCCAAGCTACTTGGGGTCGGTGGTAGATGAACCCAATGATAAATATTTTATCATATTCAATACATTAAAAAATATTTTAACAAATAAATATTTAAAACTTTCTTTACATATTTTATACAAATTATAATTTTTTTAATAAAATAATATTTGTACACAAATATACAAGTGAAAATGTAAACAAAACTTTAATATGAGTGAAATTTTAGTTACTACCTTTACTAAATTCATTATTAAAGGATGCCATCAAATAACGATTTTCTCACTAAGGAGTCATAATTGAATACAACAACTCTAGTGGAAAACTAAAAGTAACGATGGAAAAATGATTTTAATATCAGTATTGAATAACTGCTCTTGGTATGCTATATATTTGAAAGTAAAACTATTGAATAATTGAATATGTTTTAATACAGATTTGGATATATAACATGCTTAGATGTCAATAGAAAAGTTTATTTTTATTGATGCACAGATGAAATTATCTGTTGAAACATATTACTGCTGAAAAATTCATTTTTGTTGTAAAATATTATGTATGACCTTTCACATGGTTCATAACATTACTTTTTGTTTTTCATGACCTTTGATGTATTTTATAATCATCACACTAATGATATGTTGAATTAGAATACATCCAAGGGGAGCGTTGTAAAATATTATGGATAACCTTTCACATAGTTCATAAGATGTAACTCTTTGTTTTCCATGACCTTTGATGTATTCTATAACCATCATACTAATAGTGTATTGAATTGTAGAATACATCAAAGGGGAGTGTTGTAAAATATTATGGATGACCTTTCATATGGTTCATAA